GGATTCGTTTGCTTCACTCGCGGGTAATGTCTGGCTATGAAGTCTCTGTAATCAAGACATTGTCACAGATGTGGTGCAAACACAGTCACCCATACCTGACACCAGAACTGGAGTCCGATGTGAGACATAAGTGAAGTCTGATTTCCTTCACATGTGATCCAAATCTGGTCAACGCTTTGACTGACATTTCACTCAAGAGTCAATCGACAACACATTCAATGCAAACAAATACTTCATATAAATAGACATCAATGACGACAACCAAATGCATACCAAATGTCATAAAGTGCTAATCTATGGCACTATTGTGTGCTTATATTTCTATGATTATCACCACAAACATTACAAATCTAATCAATTTACATAATATTTAAATTTTACTTTAAAAATATTGTTAATTGTACTTATTTGATAAATTATGATATATTTTAAACAAACTATATATTGACATAATTTATGTTCAGTACAATCACACTTGAGTGCCACTGTATTGTGTAATAATAGTGTTGTAAATGATATAAAAACCGCAAAACATGTTTATATTTGGCGAATAATTGTATTACTCTTTAATGGTAATTATATATAATTATACAATCCTAATTGATCGAGGTGGAGTTAGATTTAGTCCATATTGGATGTGTGGCACTACTGAATAGGTTGAGTGGATGTGTGATATGCAACACTAGTGTATTAGTGCAGTGAAGGCCACTCCCAATGTATTGTTTGATAAAGTATTGAGTGTTTAGTAAACAAAAAGCAATTTATAAATCAATTCAAATCAAATCAAATCCATTTCAGCAGTGTTTCAATGAATACAAAGTGCACTCAAATATGACTTAAGTATGGATTCATTGGATGCGTTGAGTCAAGCGTTTTGTGAGTGACTGTCAACCACTGAAAGAGTGACCGATTGTTTGATTTGTTATGTCTTTTGGCAGAAACGGTAACCAATTGTCTGGAGAATGGATGCGTGGAAGTGATGGCAATGAATGCGTTGAGTCTATACGTGACGACATGTCGTATGATATTCCAGTCTTCGTGCGAAGACATGGGCGCGTGGGCTGACATCAACCGACTCGTACTCTACTTACGACAGGCGCTCACGTGTTGTGTCTGCGGACAACTGCTCACTGTTCCCATGTCTTCGACCATCAGTTCCTGTCAACACCACGTGTGTAAGGCCTGTGTCGGCGGCAAAATGCGGTTAAAGCCGTCGTGCAGTTGGTATGCATTCACTCATTGTCTGTCTGTCTGTCCACTGAACTCATTGCCTGTCTGTCTGTCCACTGAACTCATTGCCTGTCTGTCTGTCTGTCCACTGAACTCATGATTGCATTCTTCAGGTGCAAAGATCACTCCAAGTTTGTGGAGAACACTCAGCTTAGGATTCTTCTGCAGTGCTATCGCAATGTCTGTCAGTTCATGATGTCTGCAGACCTGCACCATAAGTGGGGAGACCTGACCAGCGGTTCCGCCTCCGGAACTAACATGAGTTTTGCGGAACTGCTCGAAGAAGGCGCTCAACTGCACGATAAGTACAACTTCTCGGAGCCGCCGTCCCTTAGGGGGTACTCGCGGTCGACGACCGGCAACGCCCGCATCAACGCCTCCAGAAATGGACAAATGAACACCAATTCTGTGGTCAACTCTAATGCCATTCATTCGGTTAACAGTAATATTAATAACAATAACAACAATAATAACAATAAGATTACACTTAACGGCAATTCTGTCGCTAACGATGCGATCGGTGTTAAGGAAAGCGATAGTGTTTTGCGGACCAATTGCGGCGATAATCTCACAAACAATACCACAAAGCATTCAATTGTGTTGACGTCGGCCGCAAAGGCAACTGAGACGACCAACCACTCGACGGTAGGTGTGGGCACTCACGCCATACTCACCAACGGGTCGTCTCTCATCAGAAACCCGAACACAACGCCGGCCAAAGTGAAGGCCAAACGGCGGGGCTGTCGGTGCGGTCTGGCCACTCCTAATCCGGGCAAACTTACCTGTTGTGGGCAGCGGTGTCCCTGTTATGTCGATGGCAAGGGATGCTTTGAATGCAAGTGCAGGGGTTGTCGTAATCCCCATAAACACAACACTACTAACAATAGTTTCAATTCTTCGAGCAATTCAATTGTATCGATGAAGCCCTCGCCCCACACCTCCCAACCCCCTTCAATGCCCATAACAGTGAGTGTGAGCTCAGCCATGAGTCCTACGCTCTCGTCGAGCATATCGGGTACTCTAAGCCCGAGTCTGTCGACCGGTTCGTCACTTCTTCCCATTTCGAGTACTTTGCGAACTATTAATATAGTGTCGTCTCCGGGCTCTACGAGCGATACTTTACTCCCGTTCCCCAAACTAGAAGAGGAAGCCATCGTCAGTGACATCGACATCGATGCCTAACATTCTTACTATTTATTATGATTTGAGAATACAGTTGTAAACCAATTGAAAATCACGAGTTATTTCTATCAATTTATAAATTATGTACAAATTATGAGTTTTTGTGGATTTTTGTCCACTTTTTTAATTGTCGTAATTGAATGTCAAAAATTGATCAAGTATTTATTCATTTTGTGTTTTAATTGTATAATGTATTAATTTAATAAAAAGTTGTTTATTAAATTGAAAGAATTAATTGAATTGTTAGTGAACAGAGAGTATTTGTTTGATTGATAGGACATGAATCGATCACTTGAGACATTGATGTGTCAATAAATTGAAGTCTTGGAAGGACTCCATAAGTATATCGAAGCGGAAAAGGGGTGAAGAGAGTCACCACAGGAAGAACAAGTACTTCATCGCTCCCGCAGTCCTTCACTTATACTCCATTTCCTCACTGTTAACGCACCCAAAGAATACATATATATTGTGCACTCATTATATAACCTCCTGTGAAGACATGTTCTTCATGTGACTCGAGATTATAGTTCGGCCACAACTGAGTCCAACGCTAACCTTAATTATAAATATATTAAATAATGTGTCAAAACTACAATACATTAATGAATATTCTGACAAACATTTCATTTTAGCTCTATATGTGTGTCCGTCACTACACTTCCACTGCCACAACCAAACACAACATCCAAATATATAGCCGGTATAGACTACATCACATATCATTGTACTGTATATCCTATATTCACTTTTATATACATAGAGTATAATGAAAATTATTACTCATATGCGAGGGCTCGAAAGGAAACGGAAGTACAGAATATGAACGGATGTGAAGTGAACATCGATATAATGGTTGAGTGAGAAGTGATGCTCGAAATGTAGGGACAGTGGGTTAGACCTAATTGAAAGTTTTCATCAAAACAGATTTGAGTTGTGATTATATTATATAAGTTGTGGACAACTAGAAAGAGAGACTAGAATTCATACAAGAATTGGTAGATTACACGAAAGCATTGAAAGACGCGCTTAAGGCTGAGTCAAATGCATATCATATTCATTTCCGTAGACACAATGGGGTGTTCAATGGGGTGTTTAAAAAGGGGGTATTCAATGGGGCAAATGCTCTATTCATTACCATCTCATTGTAGTCTTATTGGTTAAACAAACTGCACTTCATTTATACAATAAATACAACATTACTATGAAAGCTATTTATTTAGATTATTGTAAAAAAGAATTTTTGGACCAAAAAATGTTTTCTTTAGGTTTGAGTTTTTGTATTAATAAAAGCCATAAAATGGGAGACAATTGAAAAGATATTCTAAATGCGATCCAACCATAAACTGGTGAATAATCATAAAAGACTAAACTGTAAGACATTGTGTGGAGAAAGCCATGCATTTGAGTTTTTTTGATGTCTAACAGAGGAATAGTAAGAATACTGGGACTGTGTGGCAGTCGTGTACAGTACAGTATATACTGTACAGTGAGTACAGTACAGAATATAGAGTCGGAATAATAGGAATAATAGGAATAATAGGAGTTAGAAGTTTGTGTCTTATAGTGATTGTCATCCTTTAGTGCTATAGTTATAGCAAATGGAAAGTCAGCGGGAGTTCGAGCCTTTTGCGGACAATGCCTCCAATGCCTGCAATGCCTTCGTGACCATTCAGTGACGGAATGCCATTTACCACACAAACTATATCTCAATGTCTCAATGCCTCCCCTTTTGTATTATCGATTCAATTATAAATTACAGTTAAATATATTAACTTTTGTTATGTTTAGAGAAATGGATGTTTTGTATAAAAAATAATGTTATTTGCGATCAATATGTTGAGGTATGGATGTGTGGAATCCGCCACTGAGTGGTAATATAACTGTTTTTTGGTGGTTGTTATGAAAAATGGTCGGTAATGTCCCGATTCTTTATATTGAATCCTTGGGTGGTATTGAAAGGCAATTTCATTTCGCATCTCTCCTCGCAGTTCTCCAATGGCTTTAACTCTAATGTAATTCTAGTGTAAAATTGGGAACAAAAATATATGGATCGCAAGACTAAAGCCGATTGAATAACAACAACAAATGAATGGCAATTAATGGCCAACGAATCCGAAAGCTTTTATATTTAAAATCTAAAACTTAGTTACGATTGTGAATATAATAGGAGTCTTGCACTCCCGCACACATTCATAATGCAAACTTCACTTCAATGTAATTCTTTGCCCAACTCTACAGCACAGCCCTAATAGTGTAGTGAAACTCATATTTTCTTCATTCAGTTCTGCTCGTAACTCATCCATCATTTAGTCAAAGATGATGTATAGTTCACTCACTTTCAGACCATACCATACCATACCATTCCATGCCATACCGTAGAGTCTATTATTTCTTTCTATAATATTTGGTTGTAAACCCTATAAAACACAATAACTGTTTAAATGCGTTGACGACTATCTCAATGATCAATAGTTTGCGAATACTGTTTATATGAGACAATTCCCACACATTTTCTATTATATACAGCTCTACTATACAGTAGAATGACATTAAAGTTGCTAACTTTAGACTTAATTATTTCAAATTCTTTCACTCACTCAGTGTTTGACTTTATTTTACTCAATGTTTATTATTTACTGCTAAAATGTTTATTGCTTTATAAATTAATCGAAAATAATTTAGTTAGAAATTTATAATTGTATATTTAAAGAATTGAATTATGAAAAGTATTTACATTAACAAATCAAAAAGTCCTATACTCATTCATAATAATTTACTCTGATTTGCATTTTTATTTACCATTTAATGATTTGCAATTGAATTTTAATGATGGCAGCAGAAATTATAACCTGAATTAAATGCTGTAATCAATAAATGTCTGATTACATATTATAATTTATACATCTACTTTTGCTAGTATACAAAATTATAAAACTTTCAACGTTTTAAGCAACTGCCATGGTCTATTTTATACATGTTTTAATATTGCAACATGTACAGTACAGTACTGTACAGTGTTCTCTAAATTCAATGTATGTTTTAATTAATTCTTTGTTTTACTATATTTTGAAGAAATAGATTTAATGCCTCCAAAAAACTTTCAAAATACTTACAGTTTGTATATCTTTAATTTTGCACCTGTAGTTTAAAACAAAATTGCAATTCCTACCTCGAGTTTTGTACAATACACTGTATTTGTCCATTATGCAATATATTAAACCATTTTTATAGATATAATAAATAATTACATAATTTTAAAAACTTGAATTTAGTATTAAAATAAATATAAATTTTTATTAAATATTCTTTATTTCTGTACATGAAATGAATTTTAAGAAAAATTACTAATAATTATAATTATAGTTAGAATTTTATAATAATTTATATTTAAGTGCTTCTCAGAAAGCATAGAATTTACTGCAAAACTAAAAGAAATCCAAATATTTTAGTGATACTAATCCTATATTTATTGCAATATCATTAAATGTCCCAAAGTTTGTGAGCACTATTTTCACACACATTTACTCTATTAATAAAAGTGCAATAAAAATATCAAAATTTCTTAAAGTCTAAAAACATTTGAAAAAATATTTTCAGAAACTCCTTAAAACGACTGAAATGAATGCATCGGTTAAGTTGTTATAAATTTTTAATAGTTTGTGGTTTGCGAGCATTTGACGGGTGAGAGTCCGTAAAAATATTAGGAAAATATTTAAAAGTTGAGACAATATATCAAACCATTGAAACATCGATTTATTAGACAAACATTTGAAGGCCTCTGTATATACTGGTCGGTCATCTCTGCAAATGATTGGATGAGAGAGAGAGAGAGAGAGAGAGAGAGAGAGAGAGAAGAATTCGGTTTCTCTGGTTTGTGTGGAATCTCAGAAATCACAACATTTTGTCTCATTATTTATTCCTCAGTTATACCTGTTTTCGATAAACAATTCTTCTTTTTTAGAAAGCTATGAGAATTTCAATTAAGGCCTCAAACATAACTCAATAGCAATTTATTGTCCAAAAGTCCAGTCTTTTGAATGTAGAGAATAACAGCAAACAGTGTGTCTGTCACCGCATCCAATACTTGGCCAATGCGTTCAATACATGCAATTCCTGCACAGCCTTTCACTTAACAAATGCTACTAAAGAATGTCAGACTTAAGTCGCCTCCAACTATCCCTCTATTTTTGGCATATATTCATAAGTATATACAATGTACTGTACAATATTGCTCCGGGATATTGAGCTGACCACATACACTCACGCATATTGTCTCTCCAAAGGCTTCAACTAATTTGGTTAAAACGTCAGCTCAAGATATGTGAACCACCGATCAAATAGATTACTTTCACCTCAGTCATTTCATTCAGTTGTACAGCATTTCACTAAATTTAATATAAGATTCAACGTGTGATTAGTGGGCACCAACACAAACATACACTTTGATGGCTTTAAAAACAAGGTTTGCCTTAACAGTGATTAGGGTTTGCATTACAGAAGTGTTGTATCACTTGATTGTGAGACCGATATATGAAAATATGCACTCAATTGTCATTCCATTCACTATTTATGTGTCACTCGAGAGTCTCTTTCAGATTCTTGTAATGATTATCATTGAACACAATCTAATGGCAGAGCACTTGTTTTCCAACAATTTCAAGTGTCAAACTTTTTTGGATTATATCTAATAATAAATATAATTTAAAACTCATTTCATTGAATTACCTGTAGATATAAAAAAATTCAATTATAAGTAATCCAATGCAACAAAGAATGAAATGCTTTTAATTATCATGAAATTTATAACTCTTTAAATGATTACAGAAACAAATTGAATGCTTTTCTTTGAATTGAGTGTCAGATGTCTTTGAGTTTAGTATCTTAAGGAATATTTATTTTATTTTTGACCGAAATTCTGCTTTTTATTTATTTGTCGGAATACATGTATAATCTAAATGCAAACTATTTTTTGTCATTTATTGGCATTTGGTACTATTACTTACAAGTGCTGCGGGCGCTGGCATTAACTGGTGGTCGTATCTCTCATTTGACTTATCACTAAACTTGATCTATAATGAGAAAACAGCGCAAACACTGCCTTTTATTATCCTCGAAAAGGATGTCACAAATATGCTAAATGCAAAAAACGTTAAGCCATTTGTTTATGTGATTGCGTCTAACACTACATAAAAGTATTTTCTGGAACTTCTTGTCGTATATTATATGATACACAAACTCAGAGGAGTCCACAAGTGTAGACCCATTACACCGTCGAGTCTTATCACAAATAAGCATTTCTATAGAAAAAGCTTTCACTCGCACTGTACTGCACTGTAGTATCGGCTAAACTAACCATTGAATTTGTCGCTAATGTTGTAGTGCACCAAATACTACACCAGATTATAATCAGATATCAATATTAATAATCAAATGATTGCTATTTATTATATATCAAACTAATACTTTTGTACAGTGAATGAAATGACATATAAAATTCAATTTATTGTAAGCAATGGCTTTACCAGTGAATCGATTGACGGCGTCTGTAATGCAATAACTTCTGAATCAGTGCTTTATTTTCAATACAAAGTAGTGTTTATTTAAATAAATTTATGCGACAAAAGAGTCTATATATTAAAAGTCAACCCAAAACATGAATCAGACGATTGATTAAGAATTAGGGATGGGATGCACGTGCAGACCCGACAGACCCGACTTTATTAGGTTTGGCCAACACTTGGGCACAAATCTAATATTAAAGTACGAGCTCTCACTGAAACTGCTATTTATTGATATATTTTTCTGTTAGATGAAACTATTATATGAAAGTTTGGTCGCAATATTGCTTTAAATTTAGGGCTTTTCGACCAATCATTCCCTAATATAAACTGCTTTACGATAAAAAGAGATTAACGATTAGCGGGTGGCGAACACTCTCCCATATTCTTCCCATACAAATACAATACATTGTCCTACTCTGCCCTACTCTGCCCTACGCTACCATTCCCTGCATCAGTCCTTCTAATGGATCTGAGTCTGAGAGTGAGTTCATAAACAACTGCCCCGACAATCTCATTATTTGCAAAACTCATTTCAAACTTCTAATTGAATTAATTGCTATTATTTTAGTAAAACAATAGTAGAGACACTTATTTAGCACTTTTACAATATAGAGTTCAGTTGGTATTCATATAATACATGGCATCCAGAGTTGGCGCTAATAGAGATGTGTAGAAAAGAGACATCATTTGAATGTATTATCAGTTGTGATGTCAGTGTTTGATATACTGTTCGTGAAGATCGAGGCAATCAAAGAATTAGAGAATTACACGCAACTAATCAATGGCAATGGAGTTAGTGTTGGATGTGCCCACCCCTCACCCCAAACCCAATTCATCACTCAGTCAGTAGTATATCAATGCTATTCTAAATGAAATAAATATCAAATCTTCAAATGAAGTTTCGCTCATCCAGTGGAGGCCACCCATGTTTGCCATCATATTAATGGAGACACTATTTCTATGAATGCATTGAAGATCTCAAAAAGTGATACAATTGTAAAATTACTAAAATTCTGTGCATTTTATTTGCATAACAATTGTTCTCTCACTTAAGTCTTTACTCTTTTAGTTTTCGCTGTAAATATTGGTCTCAAATCAAACACAAATACCTTATGAGGGGTTCAACTGTATTTCAAGAGCGTATGAACTTTTTTGTTGGCACTCCAGTCAACACAAGTATAGGCGACACAACAAAAGATTGCAAATATTTAGTGAACACAACTCAATATATCGTAGATTTAATAGCACTTCAAATAAGGTGTTTGTATCAAATAGTCTACATTTCCATATTATTTGTCACCAATCGCTAATCGTATTAACTTTCAAGTGTCACAACTCATCGCTTCATATTACAAATTTAATTCAAATTTAGAAATTCTGTCACTTTATAAATGCATTGAATTTGTTGTTTAAGTCAATTGTAGTTACAATTTTAAACATCTTAAATGATACTACTTTAAACAATGTGTGACTTTTTATGAGATGATAAAATTGATAAAAGTTTCTGAATTATTGAATAATAGTAGAATTGACATTTGTACTCATATATTGTGATTGCTAACCTTAACATTAAAGATTGATTAGAAATAATTAAAATAATTCACATTTGTCTAATAGAAGCTGAAATTTAATAGTGAACTAAAAATAATGACAAGAATTTAGAGAATCAATAAAACACGAGTCGTTCAGTACATGAGCTGATGATTGTCTGAATTTCTCGGATCCTTTATTTTGTTGAGATTCTTAGTAAACATGTCGTGCAAACTGATGTAATGATTACGCAAATCAACTGCGAAAAGGCAAAGGAAAAGACGAAATCTGTAATCCATTTCCCGAAGAGCCCGGCGATAGTCCATAGAGTGCGGGTATTTGACAATCTTTGTCACCATTTCTGCCCTTTTCGTGAAGTAGTCGGAGATCTGATCCAAATGATGCTGAGTCTTGAGCTCAACAACGGCTACGCCAATCAGCATCTCTTGTTGCATTTCGACACCAAAGTTGTTTCCGTCCTCTATCTTGGGAATCATGAGAGAGATACCCATTTTGACGGTATTTGAGTCGTGGATCAGTTGCAGTGCCCACGGCTTCACTATTTCGATCGCTTCCATGAGGTGTGGGTTTGAGTCGACCAAACCGTTTTCAAACAGAAAACTCTTTGATAGCAAACAATTGTCACTCAAATCCATGTTTGGATCTTCTGGCGGAGGAATTGGGATATTGACGTCAAAATCATATGACGATAGGTTTTTGAGTGCAAATCTCTTGTTTTCCAACAACTCTTGAATTTCTAATATTCTTTTGGGAAATTCATCCAAAACTAAGTATTCGGATCTACTTTTGGTCTTTTCTTTGTATGAATTCACACAACACTCCGAATCTTCATCTTTTGGAGAAAACTTAATCTTTTTATTTGTTTTTCGTGGCATTTCCGGTGTATTTTATTTCCAAATAAATTTTCAATATACCGATTCATTATTTGCATGATATCACAATTATATTGATTACATTGTTGCATACATGCTTACAGTAATACTATTAGCTATAAATTCACAAGAATTACCAATAAATGTGAAATTGGTGGTTATTTGAAGTTAAAAGCAATTATCAATGATTGTGCTATTTGCTGGAAATTTGAGACTAAAAATAAAATGAATTTCTTATTTTGGTATAATTCTTATAAATGATTGTAAGAAAAAATATGAATAATACTAAAGTAGAGCACATATTGTTAGTATGGTATACTGTACACATTGAATGTAAAAATAATCTGAATGTTAAGTTATATAATAATAATAAATTGAACAAAACTAATGCAAAGTAAATGAAGTGAATGAATGACTATTTTGTGAGATTTATTTGTTATTAAATAAAGAGCTCAAAACCAGTGAAAAGCCTGAATATATTTGTTGGGCTCAATATTGAATATGAGGTCATATATAATGTATGTATTGTTTGGATGCGATGTAAATACATGTATAAAATGGAGAGGAGAAGCAAATGCCAGATATAATGGTATGAAAACGTATTCTTTAAGAATTATTGTAAAGAAATATCGAAATGAATAGAAAATCACATAAACATTAGTATATGCTTTAGTATATGCTTTAGTGTATGCCTTAGTGTATGTGCTTTAGGGCATCCCTACGACACACAGCATGAAGATCTCGCTTTCAAAATACGAATATTTGTTGAAACGAATAAAAATAAGTAATAAGTAATGCATTCATTGAATAAATAATACTTTAGACGAATAAATAATTCATTTGAATATTATTAATACTATAGTTAAGGAAAATAGTATTTCTTTAATCAATGATTGAATGAATAAATTGTAAATTCACTGCAAATACAAATGTAAACTAAATTTTCGAAAGTTTATAATAAATGATACATTATTTTTGATATTAAAGATAACACACCAAACCATAAGCCATATCCTGGGCCTCTTTTTCTAATAATACTTCAATCAGAATATCCCTTGTTTTTGCTGCAAATCCCTATTCGTCTGCATTTCTTGCGTCAACTTTCCGGATCTCCAGCAGAGAAAATCTCATGAAAAATGTGAGCCATTGATGCCATTGCCTCACTATTATCCATAAGCTTTAACTATACCCTATTCAGCGCTATATTCAACTAAACACTAGATTTTATATTATTATATGCCATCAACTCTACAATATATTCCTTTTTGTTGCTCTCGTATATTAAACTTATTCTCACATAATGTATATAAAATTCAATTTATTCTTTTGAGTCAACACTAAATTATAAATTATATGAAAGTTTGCATTCATTTTTGCTCATTATATCAGAGCCTGGCTTATGATTGAGATGTAAAGTGAATGAAAATAGAAATGATGTTTAGAAAATTCATTTGCTTTCAAATTAGACTGAATTGAGTTTAACAAAGATGTTAACTGTAATTATAAAGTAATGATATTGAAATCCGATGTGGTAACTATTATAAATTAAATACAATGTGCTAGACATAGTAGTATGAAATGGAGAATATTTGGTGGAAATGGTGTAATATTGAGCCTGAAATATGTTAGTCGCCTGCAGTGTCGACACTGCGGGCATAGATCAGTGCGAACAGAGCACAGCATCCCTTTCGTCCTCAGTCTTATAGAGCATCTTAGGGTCGGATTGCTGTAACGGTAGGCCAACCGAAAAGTTAAATATAAAGCTTTAACCACCGCTGGAGTCAAGTCTATCTGAGTTAAAGAATAGGGCAGCAAAACGCTGACTCTGTTTAGGCCACGCAATGCTATTCACACTAAGAGGATATCCCAAAGACTTGATGCATATGACGGCGTGATATTCCGGCAAAGATTTCTGCACTAAAATTAATGCCAGTCGTGCCAACTCATGGCATGTATTACCACATATACAACACATATAAAATAGTAACTAAAAGGTAGTCACTCTTCACTCGACTCTCAGTATTGTCGACGAGTTCTCATCGAAAGCATTGTCTCGTCTTTTCATTGTTGTCCTCTAATTGTAGTTAAAACCTGACATTTGCACCAAATATACCATTTCATAGTCGATGTGAATGTGAGGTCTACTGTAAGGATACTTCACAGCTATGCGTCTATAATGTGACTCTCATTCACACAATTCTCTGTACAATACCATTGACTGATGGGTAAGAATAAGGCATTTATATGATATAATTTTGTTATGTGACAACTCTGTTGCAATGAATCGGTTTTTATGAATTTTATACCAAATTTAGTAATCGTAAATCGAGTGATTAGTCGTGATAATAAAATGTTGAAATGATTGCATAGGAGTAAAGTTGTGATGAGATAGCGTTTGTTTGGCACCCGTTTGCTGATAATAGCGGCCAATAAAGTGATTTGTGGTGTGTTTGACATCTTTGTATTTTAGAGCCAATGCTTGTAAAGCGAACATAATTTTTGATGAATGAATTAATGAATGGTAGCCTCAATGCGATTCCTTTACGGCTCACTTAATAACTTGTATATAAAATGGTAAAAATCAAATGCATTGATAGATATTTGCAAAAGCCTTATAGATTTAGATTTTGAATTATTTATGATTTTATGGTTTATATTTCAGTTGACAACTGCACTGCAATTTAAACTCATTTATTTGACTTTGTGCCCATTCAATGAATTCAATCGCTTCATTGAATCACTAAAACTATGAATAAGTCTATTATTGAAAAGACCGAGAATTAGTGGATTGCAAGCATACCATACCATACGATACAATACCATAGCATTGCATACGATATGATATGATCTAATGGCAGGGAATGAGAGGCAAAAAGGCGTAAATGGTTGACCACATCGAGCGCACTGTCGAATAGGTCTGAATGGAGCGAAAGGTCTCACTATTAGATGATGTGAAGGAAGTGCAGTAAAAATGAATTCAATGTATTCCTGCTGTTCATGCGATTGCATAAACCAAATGCTCCTCATTTGCAGGCATTCAGTCATTCATCTCTTTTCTCGAATTAACAATAGAAACAACGACTCCGAGCGCCCACTCCTTTACTATAGTCTCACTACAGTCTCACTACAGTCTCTTTGCCATCATTTATAAATATATTATATATAGATGGATGGGTCCGGTATGTGTGGTCTTATTCCCACCTTTACATTAGCCAAGAATTGCCAATAAGAATAGGAATAACGGATTTGATAATCAAAAATAAGATACGATTAACAATGAATTCAATGGTTTGATTCGCATAGCCATGAGTTTCTGATCAAAAACTAATGTAATGTCATTTTTTCAAACTTTTCTCTCAGCCTATTGTCAGTGATTTAAAGCCGACTTTTTTGAGTAATGCATTTGATTTAGGAGTTTAGGTGTTTAGGGTGTGCCTCAACTTATTCATAAAGATCAAAATGTTTTTCTTAAAGAATCATTACATGCCTTCAAACGTGTTTCTATAACTTCAAGATCACTGGCCCTCCAATATATTGCACCCCATATTGTCTCTCAGCTTAATATTATCTCTATTTTAGAAAAATCAGGATTTTCTATATTCTGCAATGTATTATAGGCTCAAAATGTCTTTTTCTTCTCAATAAATATTCCAAATTTAGTTTTTAAATCCATTTAATAAAAACATTTTATGACTTCAAACCAGTATAAACTAAACTTAAATATAAACTTAGTCACATTTTTGCAAATAACTATTTAATTCAAATTTCTACTAAATAATGATTTCGCTATTAATATTATGATATAAAATTAATTTGTTATTAAATTCATTTTACCATTTTGTAAATATAAAAAATTCTTCAATTATTTATTTTCTTGTTTGTAACAATTTCGAAAACAGTTTTTAGTTTTTTTTTAAATTAATCATTTTTTATAAATAAGTAAAAACATAAACACATAATATTATTCACTCATACTGTACAGTTTACAAAAAATATTACTGTTTTAAGAGATTTATTTCGATAAATATCTGTTTTATTTATCATTATATTCTTGATTTTTAAATTAACAAGTGTAAAAATTGTTTAAAATATGATAAAATGAATTAATTTCAGTTTAAAAATTATTTTAACTTTTATATTCCAATCTATGTTCTTGAAGGAAAAGGATTTATTTAATATTGATTATATTGTAAAATGTAAATATTTAATTATAAATCACACAATATTTTTATTTGCTTGCTCATTACAGGTATCATAGCTTTTGCAAGCCCTTTGCTACAGTATATCCAACTTATAAAATAATAACGCCTGACTCTAGACGAGGAGTTTCATACCATATATTTTAGTTGAAGTTTGGCTATAGTTTCTAATTAAGGAATGAACAAACTCTCTCTCTCTCTCTCTCTCTCTCTCTCTCTCTCTCTCTCAGCGTGCGTTCAGACGATCTTTGATATCGATTCTGCATTAAGAGTATGAAAGCACTAAAAGTAAGGTTTTCATTCAATACAATACTATTATACACATTGTATATTCCATGCAGTATTGTACAGTATAGTGATATTTGTATAAAACTGTAATATACTGTAGTGTATAACTTATATTGAATCCCATATTATATTATATGCCAGAGAATAGAGTAAGTAATATAGAAGTGCATCCCACCCACTGTCACATCCGTTCTCTACATTACGATATCAGTTATATATCACAGTTTCTGGACATTCAAAACATAAGATATATTGAGTAATCGACAACTGCTTTTAATTGAATGTTCAACCAAAAGTACATTAACAAAATACGATATATAATTTATTTCTAATATTTAAACCAATGAAAAACTATCTGCATTTAATACAATAAATAATCAAAATTATAGAATTAATCACTATAATAAAATGCATAGCAGAAAAATGTAAATTTTTAACTATATATAAACTAAAATAATAATATGTAAGTATGCACAAAAATTGATTAAAAAGAAGTTTTTCACAGATAATAGTGTTAAGTCTAACTGTAAGAAAAGATGAGATCTCTATACCGTATAATGTTTTAGTGTATTTAAAATTTGCGTGAATTTTCAAACAAGACTTAATTAGCTAATTCAAGTGACAGAATATTTATTGATGTGAAACTCGATATGAGAAAAGTATTTAACAAAACAACTCCAGTATTCGTGCAGTAATTAATGTATTGGAGTAAATGTGGTGTTAAAGTAAGTGTTGGCGATTCAGTGCATTCAATACATGCATCGGATGGCCATTTAGGTCAGGAAATGAGGAGCGGCTCTACTTTACGATCACAACCTAATGGAAGCCACAATTTTGCCCAAAATGTTTCAAATAAAACATAAAACACATGCATTTTATTTATCACAAAATTGTTTGTGTGGTTATGGACTCGATGTTTATATCACATACAGTGCAACACATTTGCCATTAATTATAATAATCATAAACAATCACTGTTTCTAATATTTATTCCATTCCTTGCATTCTGTCTATTCTTATGAAAATAAATGTTCACATTTTTTCACTCTTACTATTATTTCGCAAAATAGAGACTATATTAGATTGTTGAAAGTTATGAATTATATAATTATTTATACAAATAATAAACACATTTGAAACATCTACAAATATTTCATTTAAAATCCATTCTGCATTAAGAGTAAGGTGAAAAATGAAGCAAATATTTGTTATGTTAATATTAGAAAATAGTGAATTTAATATTAATATTTAATATGGAATTAAATGTGTGTTTAATTTAGTGATAAGTTTGAGCGTAAATTGAAAGCAGGTGTCAATTGAAGGCATTAAACTTGCATTAGGTTTGCACTGAATGCAAATTACAGTTAATCTCAAATAAATATATGTTTGCATTTAAATAATCTGACAATTTAGACAAATAAATTTTAACTAAGCATTTTTTATTAAGAATTTCTAATGATTTATTACATAATAAAGTGTATAAGTTAACCCTGCTAATGTAGACAAACAATCGCCTTTCAGTAATGAAATGAAATGTATAGTAAAATATGAGTTAGTATTGAGTGAGTGATTGAATTGAATTAAGTATTAATAGTTATTACGCGAAATGCGATACAATTGTATGGATTGTATGGGAGATGAGAGGAAAGTGTAATAATGTGTGCAATAAATGCAATAAATATAAGTAAATACAAGTGGAGACCACTCCCAGTGCCTGAGGACAGGCATATGAAGAAGCATTTATAACGAGCTTAGCGTTAGAACTAAACATGCAATCCATGGATATGTTGGATGCGTTGGATATGTTGGCACTGGTATCAGCCCCTGATGTGGTAGGGCTGGTAGGGATAGTAGGGCTGCGCAGTTGTGGGCATTGGCTTCACGGTTGGTGGCGTCGCAAAGGGATGGAAGGGATGGCCAACAAACGAATTACCTGCGGAGGCACCGCCAGAATCCCTATTATTGGATCAGTCAGATTGAGCACTACTAGTGCCAGAGTCCAGTTCCCCACCGTTCATATCTAAATAGTTAGATCCATGACGTGATGGCGCTTATGGCTAACACTCTGTAAGCTGTGCTGAGGAGGTCCTCACAACCGGATACGTCACGTGAATTGGTTGCCGCCCCGGAGGGCACACACTCTCACCATTACCACTGTTACCACTGTTTCACTGACAAGAACTCCTAGACTTTAAGCTCAATTGAATGGTGTGTTCAGTGACGGCACTGACTGCTCAGCACGAGTATAGCTCTCCCACGGATGCGATCTTTGCGGTCCTCTTTGTCAATACGAGTGACACTTCAAGTGTTTGTGTTGTGTCTGAGAAGAAGTCGCATTGGAAGCAATTGTCACACATCAGCATCACATCAGTACCACATTAAGACATAAGTGAACCACAAGTCCTGAAGCAATGCTGAACCCATTCATGGACAGCGCCACCGCACATATGCATCAGACCATCAAATTGAGTCCATCGCACGCCACCGATGCGTCCAGTGTTGTGGCCGTCGGTCAACACCAGCCCAATCACCAGACATTTGCAGCCCAGAACGGCTATGGTATGCCTCACCCGCCCCACCACCACCACCATCACGGCTACGCTGCCAGAGATTTCCTGTTACGCCGCGACCCACATATGCCTACTCTGACGGGTGGACTCACACCACACGACGCTCTGTCGGGCAATACAGTGCAACCCCACCCCCATCACGCCACCTCCATGTTCGTGTCCGCCTCCCAGGCCCTCCACGGCCCCCATCACACCAACGCAGACACTCACGTCCTATTCCCCAGTCTGGACCACCACCCGGCCGCACACCACCCCCCGCCCCATATGAACGGCCAAATGAGACTCGCATTGCCCGGCACTGACATGTATGGCCGGCCCGACCACAGCTTCAATCAAACGGCACGCACTGATCACCATCTGACAGGCCCTTACGGACCAATGAACCCAATGGGACACATGAACCACATGAATATGCACCACACGGCACATGCACATGCTCCCGGTGCTTTCTTCAGATACATGAGAAGCCATCCCATCAAACAGGAGATGACATGTTTATGGATAGACACCGAACAGAGCAGTCCTAAGAAGCCGTGCAATAAGTCTTTCACATCAATGCATGAAATAGTGACTCACATTACGGTTGAACACGTCGGAGGACCCGAGTGTTCAAACCATGCCTGCTATTGGAGTGAATGCGCCCGCAATGGACGGCCATTCAAAGCCAAATATAAGTTAGTCAATCATATCAGGGTACACACCGGCGAAAAGCCATTTCCCTGTCCATTCCCTGGTTGTGGAAAAGTGTTTGCCAGAAGTGAAAACCTCAAAATCCATAAGAGAACCCACACCGGTATGTCATAACTGACTTCATTATTATTTATATAATCTATAATATATTTATATAATCTTTCGATGCCTTTCTTATTCTAATCCATTCTTAACCTCAAGTCTCAAAAACACATTTATATTTATTTTTACCATCTCTTCAACATTAATAACACGTTCTCTAAAAGCCTTGAAATATTTGTTTTAAACATAAATCTAATGGTATTTCATAAGCACTGAAAAAAGACAAAACTATTTAAATGATAGTCTCATTGTTGGGATGTTTGTATGGGTTGTTCTCAATAGAGTTCACTTAACATATTAACACTGAAAACCACAAAAACACAATAAATTAAACAATTGATTAATTCAAGGAAGTTATTAACTAACGATTCTTATTAGACTCGTTATACAGGACTCCTGTATTCCCTAACCAAGCCTTAGGCCTCTTTTGCTCGCATTTCACTCTTCACTCAATAATTACTGTATTTGCAAAAAGTAAAACCAAAACATTGTTTCTCACAAATCATGATTACTATAGCCTTACTATTAGTGCAAGATTTGTGTATACATAAAATTTGCATATTTAAATGCTATTAATAATAATTTGAGAAGAAAATTGAAATTTTAATCATATTTAAAATAAAAGTAATCAATAATAGTGAATGAGATGATGGGTGCGATGGTATGAGTGTATGAGGAGAGCATATGTTAGGGTCAGTCGTGTGGAAAGACGTGCAATAAATGGTTGCAAAGACAGCGTTGCGGTCGATAGAGCGCATCCAACGCTCAGGTGACAGACAAGGGATGTATAGTTTGTATCGTTGTGTAAAGATGTATGTGTTTTAAGAAACAATGGCAACAAATTTTGAAAAATAATGTTTTGCAGAAATAATTTCTTTTTCAACATTTTCTGGTTTGTTAACCACTTCTGAGATGCAGTTGTGATCTCACTTCCAAACGCATCTCAACTGCAAAACAAATTTCGATGATTTATGATGTGATCCAAACCCTAAAGAGATGTGCAGTAAAAATGTCGATTTCACTCTCAATGGCAGTACTTCTTGAATTGCAATTATTCACAGCACCTGACCTGACATAAGTCATAAAAAGAGATAACACTCTCCTCTTCTCATTGGCTCTTTCGGCCACTTCTCTCGAAACACAACTCTTACTTCAGATATTAAACACCACTACAAACACCACAACATCCACGACATCTACAACACACACAACCGAGACTAACCCAATAAACTCTCTCTCTCTCTCTCTCTCTCTCTCTCTCTCTCTCGTGTTTATTGCATTCAATAACAATTCTAAAGTCAAACTTAAACAGAAATGTTTGCACATTAGTAGTGAACCATAATTTAAGTTATACTATTATTATTAGATTTAGAGCCTATTCTTCCCTTTATATATGAGATGATCATAAAATTGTAAACTAATTAAAGGATTGCTAATGAAATCTGTACTGAAAACTACTTTTAAATATATATTATATGACCAAAACTGTCAGTCATTTGCAAGTCTCTTGTGTATAATATTGTTCATTCAATACAATACAATATTTCAATCACTCATATTTCCAACACTTTAGTTACAGAAGATTTGAATGCATATACAAACTAAGTTAAGCCAAACGTGCACCCGAGCCATAACCCTAACCTTGTAAAACAATAAAGATTACAATTCACAATACGTTTAGATTTAAAGTTCTTAATGTTTTCTCCACAACCATTTGGCCTGAATTCATGACAATCCCATTGAATGTTCTGTTAAATCAATGCAAACAATGTTGTGTTGAGTTAATGGCTATATTTTGCATACACTTTAAGTTCAATTCTAAAGTCTTTAACCAGATTTCCCTTTCTTTGGTAATAAGAATTCTGTAATATTCTCAACACTATACTCAAATCTAATCTATTTTAATCCATTAATGTATTGTTGGTTATTAATATTTAAGTAAACGAATGGTTAATCTTACCCATGAAATAACTAATTTTAATTTAAAATTCTGAAATCAACAACAGCATCCATAATTGAATATTTAAAACAGATCAGTAAAAAATACTCGACATGTAAAGTCACTTGATTGTGTCTAGTAACATATGAAATTGGTATTACTATAATACGATTATATTAAACATATTTTGATAGATTGATTAAATTGAGTGAAATAATGGGTAGAATATGTTGTGTTGTGTTGATGTGCGGATCGGTTAGAGATGTGAATAGAGACTCAACTCAATAAAGACTCAATTGATTGAGTTATACGTTGGAGAAGAGATGGGAAATGATTTGATTGTATTGAATGTTGTTATTCTCATTGTATTATCTTCACAATTGTGTTGACCAAACACTTCAGTCGAGTTTAGCCATCGATGTGACTGAATATCAATAGTAATCGGATCCCAAAAGCATGTAAATTACTCTTTCAATGAATTCACTTTCTATTTAATGATACTTTTAGGTTAAAGAGTGGCTCTAATGCATGACTGACTGTACTGTAAATACTTTACAAGATTTACTACTCTATTATGAGAATTGATTCAATCGACAAAAATATCGTTCATTTGAAAATTCTATGACATGAATAACCATTGTTTGAATCCAATTTAAATCCGACTTCTATACACTTTAATCTGATCTCTATTAGATGTATCATTATAATGTAAAATACTCTAAAAGTTATACTCTGTATTATAACATTTGTTATTTAAAATAATCAATGAATATGAGTAAATAGTAGAAATATACAACAATTATATAATATGTCAATTTAGAGTATATTAAATAACAATTAAAGCATCTTTTCATATTCGTATTGAAATGACAAGAATTATGAGACAACAAATCATATGAAATGTAATACAGTATAAAAGTGTCAGTAATGTTCATCAATTACAAATGTAGTATTCAGATTTTCGGTAATTCCAAGTATTATATTTTGTACAGGAACGGTGGAGAGAGAGAGAGAAAGAGAGAGAGAGAGAGAGAGAGCTAAGCGGGTAGTATTGAATATTGGAGTATTCAGATGAGACTAGTTTTCACATATTGTGCGATAATCTCCTTAACGGCTTATCAATTCAATAACACATTCGTAACGCGTGTTCATATGAAGTGCTATATTCATAAAATAGTCATTCATTGGCTCCGATATGTGATTTGGATTGAAATCGTGTAAATCGATTGAATAAATTGTAAATAAGAGTGAATGGTTGTGATCCCTATCAAAGATGTTGTAACGGACAGGACTTACAACACCACATGAGAGCCGAATAAATACCAACTCTAACAATGCATTCAATGCATACATATAATGGCTTTATTGCCGACTCCTTATAATACGGTTCACTAGTTGTTAATAAATAGATGTGAAAAAATTATTGCAAAACATTTACAACTTTCGAAATACAGTGCTAAGACTTACAATAACGAGAATTACATTAAACTAATGATTGAATTGAAAACAACACTATATTCAGTTGTTACAATAATATGGGAAAACTTTTGGGATTTGATTTTGTGCCATAATTTATATACTGTACCAATAATTATAGTTAGGATGTGTTGGTTGTGTCCAACAGTAGTAGCGTTTAGAGGTTTGGAGGTCTTAGAGAGGATGCAAATGATTAATTGATTGGATTTCAAACGCTGACAAACTAACTGATAGTAGATTGTAGTGAATCGAGAACTCATTTACTTGTATTGCAAACTCAAAGCATCCAAATTGACGAACACTAACACAATGAGTGGAATGGGAGGCACACCCTCTCTGGCCATTTCAGCCGCAATAATGGCCATACACTGCATCAATGCACTCACCATTCAATGTTGAATGCAATGCAGTTTGGCTTCAGATGCTAACCCAAACCCCATTCATGACCGGTTCTACTCTACTCCACTCTAATATGTGTTAACTGCTCTCTAGTCTCTCTCTCCCTCTCTGACTCGCACTCACTCACACACTCATCCCATTGCATGGCATCTCTTAGTAAAACTGTTGAGGACTCTTATCTCCCCTCACTTTCTTAGTTCTTTATTTTTACAACTGTATGACTGGTATGACTGTGTGTGTGTGTGTGTGTGTGTGTGAGAGAGAGAGAGAGAGAGAGAGAGAGAGAGAGAACATATAGTATTCTACTGTGTGTTGGGAACTGAAAGCAGTTGCAGGTGTGAAACGAACTTGTATTTAAGGTTAGGGGTCATCAATGCAATGAGCCTGAGATACACACATTGAAAAGCTTACAACATCCAAATAAAGCTGAATAACATTTTATACATGCATTTACAACATTTACAACTCGTAATAATTATCTATTGACTAAACAATAAAGCAGACATTCTTAACATATATTCATATAATACTGAATTTGTGGCAATTGATTAAAACATTTGAATTGGTTTTTTCAACAGGCGAAAAGCCATTCAAATGCGAGTACGAAGGCTGTGATAGAAGATTTGCTAACAGTTCCGACCGCAAGAAGCACTCTCACGTCCACACCAGTGATAAGCCGTACAACTGTAAGATCCGGGGCTGCGACAAGAGTTACACTCATCCGAGTTCACTGCGAAAACATATGAAAGTTCACGGCAAGTCCCCTCCACCACCAGGCGCTCCCGGTTCAGCCAGTTCTGGCACTGGTTCTGGTTATGAAAGTGACGGAACAAACAACAACACCAGTAATACTCCTAACCCTCCGATTCATTCACATCCTCACAGCCACTCATTCGGAGGCAATGCTAACAATGCAAACGCAGGCAATACTCTCAACACAATCGGTGCCAATACAGGCAATGCAATGAACGGCATGACCGGCTCGACCCACCCGCCCACCGTCCTATCGCCTATTACCTCCAATAACACGGTCCTGTCCACTGGCCATCACCCGACAAATCTAAGTGAATGGTATGTCTGTCAATCAACAGCTGGAATGCCGACACCGCCGAGCAATGAACACTCACCGGTTGGACACCCGGGGGTACCACTGCATCATCACCACCACCACCATCACCCCCACCCTCATCTCCATGCGGCCACTTCTTACTGATAATTGTAGACATTTCACATAATTTAAGTCTTTACTCATCGCTTGTTTATATGAACCATCAATTCATTCCTCACTTCATATCCATTATTGATTTCCATTACAAAGAGGTAGGCCTTAGATACTAACCATTCATTCATTACTTAAATTATTTTAATATTTTGTGTTCAAATCAATTATGATTTCAAATTAATTAGAAATCTCATAAATAAATTATTAAACATTAATATGTTATTTGATGTGATAAATGAGTACATAATCATTATTATTATAAATAAGACAAAATACTTATAGACAAAACAACAGAATTGTATATATTTACTACTAACTATCTAGATACACTAATTTGTCTAAAAGCAAAGCATATCTCTTGTCATACAATTGTCATACAATTATCGAATGCATGCCTTAATTTAGTTGAAATCATTTTGTTGTCAAAATCAGATCGATTCTGCTTTTTGTAAATATTATATATAAATAATATCTTTAAAATAAAATTATTATAATTGTGTACAATATGAGTTCACTCGATTCAATTTATTTAGCAATTAACATCTCGTTAAAACTAATGCTATACAGAACTGTGCGATATATGAATTAATTTGTACAGTAAAGAACATCCAGGACAATTGTTGGCATTTACAGTATACTGTATATATAATTAGCAAGTTTTGATGTTTTGTTGTTTGGAGTTTGGGTAAATTGATTGAACGCCTAATACTTTGTTATGAAGAAGAGGTCGGATTTTCAGAAATATTTGTTGAATTGAAAAGAATGAGTACTTATTCGCCAAAACCGGATGAACTGATATAAACTGATGAAAGCAAGAGAATAATGATCTGTGAATAATTGCTGTGATCCTTACCACATGAGATCATATCAAGAGATTTAATTATAGCTCTAATAATAACTAACCATTTATTTAAATAGTCTAGAGACACGTTTTGTTGATCAATACCTGCACCACATATGCCAACCAAATGCCTGCCCCACTAAATACAGTGGTGTTCACTATGATTTGTTACATATTTATTTGAGTTATATTCTAGACTCAAGTTTACATATTCTAAGTAATTATTCAGTAGTTGTAATAAAAACAAATTGTTTTCACGTCTTTTATTTAATAGTTATTATTCATAGATTCTGATCAGTTAATATTTATTTTGAAACTAATTATTTATATTTTGTTCAATTTATGTCTTTACTGATTGACACACAGTTTGTAAATTGAAACATATATTAGAAAACAAACAAATGATTGCACCCCGAGTTCTCACTCTTACCACTCATTTCTGTGATTCCCATTTTTGACATTTAATGAATAACACATGAATCCACTATTTCACACCATATGCTCTACAATGTACTTCACTGTTATTCTCTCAATGCAGTGGGTATCACATTTGGATTACCGTAGTATATAATTTACTTTTCAAATAATGTCAAATCTTCTCCTGTACTCAACAGTGCAATCATTTTCAATATTACATTCCATTTAATACAATCACTTTTATCCGCCCATTATTTTAATTTATCATAAAATTTATATTATATATTCGTAAATACAGATTTTAGTGATACTATTTAGTGATACTATTTAGTGATCAATTTAAATATCTCTCGACTACCTAAATATTTTTCAATGTGGTTTTATTGGGCAGTTTATATGATAGAGAATTTGTGGTCAAAATTTTTAATCTATTTTACCGATTCGTGTAGAATATGGGGACCAACTCAGAGACCCGTTTTCTGATCAATTTCTCTGATGAGAAACAAAATTTGTGTTATTTGTGAGAAAGTGAAAGAATTAATCTTTAGTTTAAGCCATCAATTGAAAACATGGGTTAAATTGCTCATAATTTACAGTATAGTAGATGTTAGTAATATTATTATGAAATATCAATATGGCTTTTTATACAGACAAAGGTATTTATAAAATCCATTAACAGTTTATTATTAATAAAAATTTAAATATTTTAATATAGTAAAAAATATTTAAATTGTAGAAACATTTAAATAATACAGTAATCATAATAAACATATTTGGTAGTAATAAATGTAGTGAAATATTAGTGAAAGAAAATTGAATTTAAATGATAATTTATAGATATATTGATTTAATATGCAATTGAGGAAAGTGATAGTGTATGTAATGAGGTATAGGAGGTATAAGTGGTGCGCCACCAGTGGTGTGGTGACCATAGGAGAGGTGGGGGGTTATATAGATTCATAGAATGAGTGAATGGAGTGCCAGCAGTGGTCCGTATGCTGCCTGTGCTGTCATTGTGTGCAACTGAAGCCCAATGTATAGCCGATGTATAGTCATATTGAACGGCAGCTGCGTTTACGACCAAATTGTCCGCATATTCTCTTCTAAACCTAAACCATATAAACAGACTAAACGTCAATGACTTGAAAACAGAGACACTATTACTATATCATAAATACTTGTATTGAATATTATGCTAAAAATTGTGAACTTTTAAATGAATTTAAATAAAAAATAAGTATATTTTGAGAGTTTTGAGTTTCTGACAAATTCGTGAGTTTTGAGTTTTCAGTTCTCAGCGGTATATCTATATTAGGCGTTCCGTCCATCGCATCGATGGCTTGTATTAGTAATAAATAAAAGAATAATTCGTTATTTATTTTCTAAAAAACAGTCGTTTATTAGTCGTGTTTTGGACTCGAGTTTCAATAATACCTAAACGTATGCCTTCCATGACAATTTCTAACGTTTTGTTGTTTGTCTTATCGATGTGTCCGATCAGACATCACTTCTACACAATTGATAATAACAGTAGAGAATACTTAGTGAACAGAGCACTGGCATAGAGGCACTGGTATATAAGTAGCGCTATAATAGGCTTCATATCAGTTAGTATGTGATCGTCATCTCCCGAAGAGGTGTATTTGACGGCCAAATATCTTATCTGCAAAAGGGATCTACTTTTTAGACACAAAGTTAAAGAACCTAAAGATCTAAACACTAATTCTATAAACTATGAGCCATGACTTGAGCTGTATTTCCACTGCACGAGTAGTGGATAAGTCACAAAATCACGACAAACCAAATGTCACTTCCATTATATCCTCTCCCCTCATGTTTTTATTATTGATTACTACTTATGTCTTAAAATAATAATCATAATTCATAATTAAAAATAGTGAAATTTAAAATAATCCCAATATTGCTTCCTTTGAAAAACTTTTTTCATTTATTTAGCAAACATTTGAATACATTTCCAAAATTTGTATTATTTGAGCAATATTTCACTTGAAAATCAAATGTTTGAAAAGTACTTTAGAATTGAGAAAAAATCAACAGTTTTTAAGTTGAATACGAAAATATAACTCAAAGGGAATATTGGAGTATTGGGTGCCTTTAAAGTAGGACAAACATCAGTACAATTCAATAATTCAATGCTCTCTACGGGACTAACAATACATTAAATTCGTGTTTACATACGATATACTCAACTGCTAAACTGTATGTACAGTACTACAGTATGTAAATTTTATGACACTTGAATTTCAAAAGTAAATTAAATTTATTAGAATATACTTCTATATATAATAGAACTCATCCATTGCTATCTTGAACACTACATTTTATTTTTATATTATTAAACAATTATTTGATAATTATAATTTAATTCAGTATTGATTATATTAAATTTACTTCTGTTCCAAATATTATTTACATATTTTGTGTTATTATTAATTATTAATATACTGTACAGATGATTTTTACTTTACCATTTTATACACCTTTTTCAAACTTCAAACTAAAATTTATTTTTATTATACATGTACTGTATATTTTAACGTTTATGCTAAATGAGAGAGAGAGAGAGAGAGAGAGAGAGAGAGAGAGAGATGACTTATGATAGAATGCATTGTATGTTAGGATAAGTTAGAGTTACTGGAGGACAGCCCATATAATTGTCAAATGTCTAGCGATGCAGTAGTGGTGATGAAAATATAGAGATTTGATGGCTTTTACGTTATATTATAATAGAAGTAGCGTTTGATTCATTGGGTATGTTTTGAGAGCGACGCAAAGGAATAAGTTATAAATTGTTTGATATTATTTTGGCACCAAAAGTGATGAATGTGTCGATGTTTTATAAGAGGGACAAAACCTCTGTTCGGTCGCAACTACCAGACCTACCGGGCCTGCCAGGCCTGCTGGGAGAACGTGCACTCTATACTTGGGATCAAATGCATGGCAATGGTGTGCATTTGCAACACATGACATATACTGTACAACACATTCACATCTTTGGTATTAATAAGTTTTGCCAAATATATGCACAAAAAGGAGACCTTTATTTGGGTTCTTAGAAGTGAACTGAAGGGAGAATATATAGAATATATAGAAAGGCATCGAAAGCAACAAAAGAATGCAGAGATCGAGGACTTACTCTCCAATATATATACCGTATATATATATACCGTATATATAATGGTTTGTACGACAAAACGCTTGAAGGCAGGCAAAGGCATTGCCACCACCGCTACCATCACTACCAACACTGCCATCACTACCATCACTGCCACTACCAAACCATAATATATGCATTTCTATGCATTGGTAAAGCGCTTGAAAATATGCTTTTGTTGAGCACTGGAGTTGAACACAGAATTGGAAAGCATATCGAATGCACCTATACTTGTAGTCCTAGTGCTATAATGGCATAATGTTGTGCCCCATCCATACAAACGCTTGTTTAGCAAATACACACATTCACTACATATTCAATACATACACAAACTCACGCATCACTGCTTCAGTTTAGATGAGATGCACTCATAATAAACTCCATATCAAACACTCCATTGTATAACACTGTGCTTTCACTCAAACCTTTGCTTAAACTTATCAAAACATAAACTAAAACCTTAAATATGACACAAGAAACTATTGAAATCCCAGAAATACATTACAAGTGATAGTCTAACTGAACACTGGCCTCAAGCAGTTGTGTTTAAGTGAATACAAGTTTAAATAAATATCGTTTGGACAGCAATTTGGTGTAAAGTGAGCCAAAAAAGCTTCAAAACAATGAATAAAAGAGAGGGAGGGAGGGAGAGAGAGAGAGAGAGAAGTGAGTGACTGGATTGACT